TGTGTCTGGTCACAGGCACAGCTAATGCGAAAGCTTTGCCATGTTGCATAAAAACCTAACCGTTTGATTCTGAAGAAAGAACCAAAGAACCTTTCAGATTGGAAAATCTGATTTAAATAAATTACCTGGAACCTAGGTTTTTTATTCAAATCAGTTTGCTGAAGCTCGCTTTGATGCAAGCAAATATTCAAGCACCTGCGTTTTTGGTACATGTCCTTGACCTTTAAGCTGTTTGTGGTTTGTAAGCTGTTTGTTCTGTCACAGCTGTCATATCCCTTGATGTTTATCCAGACCTGGTTAGTTGGAACCAGCATCAGAAAGACAGCAACTGGGTCTCTTCTTGTCAGGTTTGATGTGCAACCCTCCATTAGACAGAAGTAACGTTGACTATTAACAAATGCTACAAATTCATAGATACAGATTTAAATCTTCCTCTCCTCTTTCTTTTGGTTTGTTTATTCAGGGATCCTCACAATGAATCTTCTTCCTATTCCTCCTTTTCCACTAAAAATGTCCATGTCCTCTTTCATGACAAGTCCATAAATCTACGCTGGCCATAAAGCCTAGCTCTATTATAACACCAATAATCACACCAAATATCTCACTTGAATCCCAAGTTTATGTTCAACTTGAATACTCAGAAGACTGTCCAACTTGACAAGACGACTATGACAGATGAAAAGTGCTCTAGCTAGGTCAAGTTCTGCTCCAAGACATCATACTGTACTGCCACTGTATCCTAAACAGCTTTTCTTACAATTGTCATGCTGTAACAACTCCGTGGTCGACACAGACAGAAAGGAGCAGAAGGTAACATAAATTGTTTGTCTTGAGCTCCCATGTCTACAGGCGACAGCATGCCATAAAAAGTGACTGATGCTGGAAGTGCAGGGTTCCCATGAGTGAAGAGCCTAATCTGTTGAACCTTTCACTTCTGCCAAGCTGTGTTTGTTCAACATGTCAACTTACTGATCTCTCTAATCTTTTTGTGGCTAACAACTAAAAGGTAGCATTGTAACATTAGTTTAAAAAAAATCAATTACATTTTTTCAAGAATTACCTTTTGACAACTTGCTCTAAACCAGGGGTGACAAACTGAAATTCACAGTGAGTCAAAACAAAGTCGCGGACCAAGACTTTGACATAACAATGACTTAAAGTAACCTCCCTGGATTCTGTAACCTAGAGATGAATAAACACCATACAGTAGATCAAATTCATGTACGATTATCTCGCCATTCAAAATACCACTCCACTACCTGAGTTGATGAAACTGTAAGTTCCTCCATCTGATACTGGCACATCACATCACACATCACGTTGCTCCAACAGAGCCTGAATCTGTTTGCGATCAGTCAAACATTCTTGGGGGCCTTAACTCTTTTTGATAACTCATTATGATATCCTGATAAAACTGCCTCTCTAAATATGTTCATGCTCCATCGAATTAGTGGGTGATAAACAGATAAGCTGATTACAGATGAAAACACATTGTGGTTGGGCTCCAGTTGTATTATCCATCCATTTATTATATACTGCTTATTCCTGTGCAGGGTCACTGGAGCCAACCACAGCTGTTAACCAGCGAGGGCAGGGTAATCCCTGGTCAGTCCATCTCAGGGCCACATACAGAGACAAACAAAAAAAAACAGATTGACTTGGCTTCTCCACAGCTGATCCACAGCTGTGTTCATGCTACACGTCTGACTTTCCTTTCCAATGAGGCAGCTTGTAAAACCACTCTGGGCACATCTTTGGTCTATTTGGCACCTGCTGAGATAAACAGACACAAATGTGAAAGGAAAATCTCCATCCAGACAGGACTGCTCGTAAAGCACCACAAAAGTGCACGTAAAGGTGAAAAATCAAACAGCGCTTCAACAGAGCTGAAGCCATTAACAGCTTGTGAATGTTGATGGTGCAACTCTCCCCCCAATTAGCAGCGTTTCTGCAAGCTTGGCTTGAGTTGGTGGAGCCAAACAAATCCTTCAGAGACGAATCAGGATGGGGCGAATTAAACTGTCTGACAGTTTCCATTTATAAAAACCCAGGAACTAAGTCCTAAAATAAGCGATTGTGTAGGTGCCACGATGCTGTCATGTACAAGAACAGTATCACATGTAATTAGCAGTGGCTTTTGGGTGAGCTATTGAAAGAACAGGCACCGACTGATTGACGTTGACACAATGACGCCTTAAAAAATGTTCCTAGTTTCTAGTCCCTTCAGCTCAGAAAAGGCTAAATCAAGGTCTTTTCCTCATAGTAGAAGCTTCTGTCTGAACACAAGGTGTGGTCAGAAGCATCAGTGGTGCGTTGCTATCTTCAAGCAGCAGCCATTAATTGGTGTTTCCATCCTAGGATTCTGGTTTGAGACAGTGTTTTATTCAATTTTTTTTGGTTGTAAAATAAGCAACTTAGATGTTAAAGTCAAAGGGCTTTCTTCTCAAAACCTAAAATATCCTTGTTCGTCAAGGTGTTGTATACCTCTAGTTGGGAAAGTTGACGCTGCATGAAATGGTCCCCGAACAAAGAGGCTCAGTTCCTGCACTGACACAGATTTAGGAATACAGTGCGTCTTCGTGTCTGCTTTCCCCTTACTACTAGTCCTTTTCTTCGCATTAATTTTAGCACTTGTGTGTTTTTGTGTGTTCATTGCATTGTCTTTGTCAGTGTCACACTATACCTGAGCCTTGTGTTTTTATTACTTTCAGTTTTGATTTAGTTGTGTCCCTTATGCCAGGCTTCAGCAATGCTGTGTGAGTTTTGTAATCCGGTCAAATTTGCCAAAAAAAGCATTCATTGCATTCATTGTCAATTGACATTTTGACCAATTAACATTTTCGATGTTTTCGAAAAAAAATGAAATGTCAGTGTTCATTATTTTATAAAATCCCACAAACTCTCAATTTAATTGAGAGTTTTCTTGTTGGACGGTAGACAGAATATAGGAATGGACATGTCCATGCCTAACAATGGGGGCCCAGGTATATGGTATTATTACAGAACGACAATTTTTCAGTGAACTTTTATGGACCTATTAACTAACTTTTAGCATTTTATGAGCTAACAGCTACTGTATGAATTGTCTCCTTTTCTATTGAGTGTTTCTCAGTGCTGTCTAATGTAGTATTTCATGACTATGACCTGACTAACTAACAAATACGTAATTGCAAAACCTATTGAAATTGAATGTGTGGTATTTGTGTTTAACTCAGTTTAAAGGAGATTTTTTTTCTCTAATACAGGTCCATTCACCCTTGAAAACAGACCTGACCTGACAATAGCAAAGTGCTTTTGTCATCAAAAAACAACGTTTGTTTTAGAACTGTGATCACCTCTTTTCCATCCCTGTTTGTTCTTATAAAGCTCCACCACATGATTTTATTTCTGGTGCCTAAAATGACAGGTTAAGTGAACTATGTTGAGATGAAACTTCTGAAATAGCTTCATGGGAGAGCTCTGGAAAACAGTATTGTTTCATCTTCGCATGAAACTGCGAAACCACTTCCTTTCGCGGGAGTGCTAGTGAGTGAGCACCAGGAACGATTGTGCGTGAAAGAAGTGTTTTTTTTTTTGTTTCCTACTCTTCACTCTGCACCTCGTGCTGCAATTGAGGTTGCTGTAATAACAGACCTCACTTTCATGGGGCCAGCAGTGAGGATCCTGCGTGGCTTTTCCAGTCATTAACATTTGCTTTAAGTACAATTTCAGTTCTTAACCTCACCCTCCGCTCCCCACTCCTCCTCAACATCAGGCTCCAGTTTGTGCTGTTACACATCCAGTCATAACATAACACAAGTGATTTACACCACGCGAGTGTAACACTCTCTTCAGTCCATTAAAACAAACAGAGCGCAGTGGAAGTCATCTCTCTGCCAACCAGTACAGTTTAATCAGGGACCTCACAGGGACAACCACCTACAGTATGTCTTATCGACTCCTTTCCCACAACAGCCGCAAATCAACACCTTTCACACTCTCTTCAATGAACCCTTTATCTACTATGTTTTTTGTGGCACCCTCAACCCCCCCACGACCAAATTTTCTTCCTGTCAATTATAGATCAAGTCTTATTTCTCTCCCCCCATTCCATTGCATTCCTTGGAGCAGGAATTATTGCCTGTTTAAATAAAAACTAAACTGCAGGCCCCTGCGTGGCACGAGATTTCAGTAGCTCCTGCTCGGCCGCAGAGGAAACACAGTGCTGCTGTTCTTGCACTGCTCCTCCACTGATGGAGGGGAGGTTCAAATGAAAGGCTGCTGCATGTGCAGGAGCTAATGCTTCCTCTTCTTTCACCCCCTCTGCCTCATAGTTTCCGCAACTTTAGGAACAGGAGTATTACAAGCACACTTGGATACTTGCTCTGGTAAACAATTGGGGGAAGGGTATTTACCTCCCTTTGCAGAATAACATGGATATCTGATAGAAACTGCTAAACAGTACCTCTCTAAATATATACATGACAACAAAACATATGAAAAATGAAAAATTCCCAATGAAAAATTTCATTGGGATTAATAAGAAGGAAACAAAAAACCTACTCCTTCAGGTTTTAGAACTATGGTAAGAAACTGAAGTGCCTGGATGAAAGTCACAAAGACTCAGAATCAGTAAATTTAATTAATTTGGGGGGAAAAAAGAAAGAAAAAGAAATAATGTGCTGAGACAGAATTTTCTCTTCTTTTGTGCACTTGAATCCAGAATCTTTGTATATGTGGATACATCCTAACCAAGATCAACATTTGACATTGTTAGGGTCTTTTGTACCTTTAATAAGGATGAGTACCAGAGACTATTGAGAGCAGACTAATCCACACCTTTTAAGAAGTGTTGCTCCTAATGCTTCGAGCACATAGAGGTGCTACAGATAGGTTTCACACATTGACAAGTAAATCCAATTAACCTCATGAGGTTTGCTTTATGACCTGGATTACTAAAAATCCTTAAACACACTATAAAGATGCTTTTCATCAAAATAAAGGAGTAGATTGAAAGTAAAAGGTGGTTCATTGTCAGGATTTGGATTCACATAAGAAAATTGAGAGGGTGAAAAAGCCATGACAAGAGAAGTAAATGACAAGGACGTCTTAAAGCAGTATTTGTTACATTCAGGGGAGGACCAATGGAGGAGGTAAGAGTCAAACACAGTACTGGGAAGAACATTGACTGAAACCACAGCCAGGTAAGAACACACACAAAAGAACCACACTCATACATAGGAAAGGGACATGTAACCTGACCAACACTGAGTGAGAGAGGGACTTATACCCAGGTCACCAGGTGAGATGAGTGAGACTGATGAGAGAACACAGAACACAGGTGAGGCTGATGACACTGATTAACCAGGAGAGACAGACGGACCTGTCTGAATTCAGAACATAAAACCAATTTATGTACTATGTGAGTAGAGATAAATGATACACACTGATGTTTAACCCTCACCCTAGAGCCCATACGTCATAGAATGAATCACAATTGTTCAGAAACAGAATATGTGTGAATGGCTAGTTTTTCAGACTAGGTTTTTTAAAGTGCACTTTAACTTTAATTGATGGTGTTTCATAACACACTTTCACTCGATTTGTTTTGGTTTGTGCTGCTGTCAATTATATTTCATTTTGGTTTTGTAAGAGGTGATAAAATGATTTATTAAAAAAAATAGATAGAACAGGGTAAAAAAGCCTTTGAATCAGAGTCAGGAAGAAATGAAATGTTTGAGACAGAATACAAATCATTATCAGAAACCTCAGCCGTTATTTTGTCTGTCAGATTTCACAGCGCTGCGGGCCATTAGGGATTAATGAGAGCTGTTTACTCAAATCAAGGGAACAGAACTAAAACATGACAAGTTAAAACATGGGTGTTGTCTCCTCAATTGACCTCTGGGCTTTAGTATGTGTGGAGAACAAGGACAAAGAGATTCTGTAAACTGGTGTGAGTGAGAGAGTGTGAGAGTGGCAGACTGTGTGGTCCAATGACCGGGACTGAAGAGTTACTTTAAGAAGAGCAGTTAAAAAATGGTCAGCTGCTACAGGCACAGATGCTGGTTGACTTATTTTAACTGTATTTGAACCTAAACTTGTGATGTAAAGCAGATATTTGGATAAAAGTGTCTGCTAAATGCATATATGTAAAGCTTTTTTTTAAACCACTGCTTACTTAAAAAGGCAATATTAACACGGGAGAAGACCTGACTCACCTCTCCCCAAACTATGCAAATTAAGCATTGTAACTTTAGTTGCATGAAAGATGCCAAAACTGTGCTTATTTGAAAATGGTACAAAAATGTACATTCATGTCTTCATTCCTGTTCTTATCTCAGGGTCCATGAATGAAGGGTCAGGGCATCTATTTCTCATTGTGAAGCCATTTATTTTGTCCATTTTCGTCTGTGAAAAAAACAGGACATCAAGACCTCTGTCTTTCTTATATACCAGACTAGTTATAAAGCAATCCAAAGGTTTTATACAGAGGGGAAACAGAAAACATGATAGTTACATAAGGTGGAAACCACTGTGAACACAGACAAACACTGCTTCATATTTTGACTTCCTGGAAAATGTTATTATCTCCATAAATCTCCAGATAGTACAGATGTTCTTTTGATCTGTAATACCTTCCCAACTAGATGCCCTGATTTTTACAGGATGAATCTCACAACTAAGTTTCCAAATCAGCACATGTTTTGTAGAACAACAGAACACAGCTGAGAGACACCACTCCACACAAAATGGAATTGCACCCATTATTGGCCGATGTGAAATCTTTAGTTTTTAATTTTTTGATTTTCCAATTCTCTAGAATTGATATTGGACTTACCACAGGCAGGAGGGAGAAACGAATGCTGAATCCTGGCTCGGAGGGAAAGTATTCATCGGAGATAAATCGGATCCTGATCTGACTGCCCTTGGATGTCAAGCTATTTGGCACAGACTGTGACCCACACCAACGACCCAGGATTGTCTTTTCAGTGAAGTCTTCTATCTCCACAAAGTCATACCTGCGTTCGTGAGACAAAGTGCAAAGGTAAGTTAGTAGCTAAAACAGACTCAGAAAAAACTAAAAAATATTTAAAGGTAGCAAACAGTTAGAAGTATTAGAATTACTTTTGCATTACATGATTATGATTACATTACAATAGCTAATGTTAGCCAACTAAAGAAAACCTAAATAAAAAACTATAGTGAAATGAACAATCTAGCAAAATAAGTGTAAACCCAAAACACAAGATTACATTAGAAGTTATACTTTTGTTATTACATTTTTTTTGTCATTTTTCCATATTATAATTCCATCATTTCCATGTATATATATATATATATATATCAGTGTTTATACAGAATTTGGCTTCTTTTTACAGTGAAAGGATACTTTGATTCAGGGTCCAATCTTTTTTTATGGAGCTCGATTGTTCTCCTTGTGCGTGGGTGGGTTTTCCTCCCGCAGCCCAAGAACATGCTCATGTGTTTGTTCGACTCGTATTAGAAACAAACACACACAGTGGTGCATGTTGTGGAGGTGAACCTGTAATTACTCCTTCTGACGGTTCCTCCACCGACCACCTTCCTGACCATAATACCAGCAAACATTAGCGGCCCATGGCCGTGCTCCAGGCTGCTCAGCTGTGCCAAGGCTAACACTGACCAACCTCAGCACTTAAGACCCACAGTTCAGGAGTTCAGCCTTCATTATTTATACCTGGGTGTGAGTTAGTTTGCATCTGTGTTAGCGGCCACGGCGGCAGTGGCGGTGTAGTTTTCAATACAGCCTTGTTCTACCCTCTACCCTCACAGTCTGGGATTAATCATTTTGCCGTTTGCATCAGGAGGCCCTGTTAACTTCTTTTACAGTGCTGCCCATGCGGATATTTGGATTTGGGGGACATTGTTTACACTTAGCGGAGGCTTGAAAGATATAGTTTGAGCTGGTTTTAATAAACCAACATAAAACGACATAGGCAGGACTAAAACTGGGTTTGTTTTATGTAAAATAAACAGGAAGGGAAGTGGGTGGTAGCGGTAGGATAACTGACTCATTCCTTTGATTTGGAAAATTAGTAACAAGGGAGTTGTGATCTGCACAAAGAATGTATTAGATTAATTTAAATTCAACTGAATCAGTGGAGCTTCATAAAGAATATAATGGTCATTTATGATTCTCAGAGGCCTTTAACACTGAAAAACCTTGCTGTTAGCACATGTTACTACAGTTTGCTATAAGTTCATGGACTTTGGCCCAAAATCAATTGGGCCACAAATATTTGTTTTCCTGGAATTTCTTAAATGTAGCTAAATATTTACAAAAGGATTTGTCTTGTCTAAAAATATTAAAATCAGCAAAAGATGGGGCCAAAAGATTATTTTAAAATTCTTGAAAATTGAAATTGAAAGTTAACCATGACATAACTAAAATGGGTAAACTATAATTTACATTAAATGTACAAGATTTCCACAAAATGAACTTCACAGCAGAGTATCTCAAAGTCTAATAAACATTAGCAAATAAATATATGCCTAAAAATACAAGATATACAAAGGGCATTTAGCCTACAAGTTGCTAAAAGTTGCCTCATAAAAACATTTAAACCAGTATGAAATACACTTGATATTTTTTTCTTTTATTTAGATGTTGGGTTATAGACACTTTTTTCCATCAGAACCAGCCTTCAGAGCTTCCTCAGAGATTTGACAGATGGCTCATCAATGATGCAGCTCACTCTGATCATAACACACCATGTGTTCACAATCACCAGGTCGACAGCAGCTCGGAGATTTACAAAAGCACTGACACACATAACACACTGTACGCTGTGAAGTGGGAGAAGAACGCCAGCATACAGCTGCACAATTTTACACACTTCAGAGAACCAGTGGTTAAATATTCACCCAGATTTCTCTAATGCATTATTAATAAAACGATATTCACTGTGGAGATTATGCAGAGCAGCAACACTAGCTCTGCTCATATCAGTTTTTTTCTCTCCTTCTGCATGAAGACAGGGGGCAGAAATGAGAAGCATCATTTCTGGGAGGCATCGTCTCTGCTGCCATGCCAACAGCAGACAGACTGATTCCTTTCTAATATGCTGCTGCTCCATCATTGGATTTGGTAAGAATGCTTTTCATCAAACCACAGACAAAGTTAGCTTAAAAGATGAACTTCTCAGTCACTCAGACCTCCGCAGCGTCTGCAGTAACCCCATGGAATGATGGGAAAACATTTGAGTTTAAAAAGCAACACATTTAGCAGTGGACCGGAGAAAACAGTTATTCTTATAGTAAAAACAATATTTTGAAACTAATGAACTATAGCACAAAGTGTTGGACCAGGACACTTTGCTTTTTCACTTTTCAACTCAAATGTGTTAAAGGCATTACCTGAATAAATTCCAGACGAACCCGCAAGGGGTCGCAACCCCAAGATTGAATTTCACTTCCATAAAATGGTGGCAATATGAAGTGATTAATGAAAAGCTTTAGTAGGTAACAGTCATTCAAAGAAAATAATGGACTTCAAACAGAGGAGAAAACACTATTGGCTGATGGGATGTGTTAGCCATGTACTGACTGGGACAGGCAACAGGCAACAGGCCACAAGTTGCATGAGTCCCAAAAGTTTAACTGACATGGCACATCAATATATTTCTAATGGCTAAAAGGAGGCAAACTACAATGCACTGTTGCCTGACACCTGGCCACTTTTACCTTCTCATGGTGTCCAGTGTCTGTGTGTAGGAGAATGTATTTCAACAGGAGTAAACTGGTAAGTGTCTGTTTCTGCTTATGTCTGTATGCTCCACTCCTTTGTCTGCTCCTGCTCTGCCAAGAGTTCGTATCTCCACATCTGATCAAAAACTAACCGGGGCCTGTCTGAGGTGGGGTGGGCGGAGGTGGAGGGGGCAGCAGCAGCAGCAGAGGTAGTGAAATATGTAAGACCTGAGCTGCAGACATGGCAGTGACTTGTACGACCCTGGAACAGGAAGTTTTTTTTTTGTTTTTTTTTTATTGTCTTTTTCCCCTCTCCTGTAGGACACTGACTAGTGTGGTCTTGTGAAGGCAGGAAGGCACACAGGTTGTCAATCTTCACCCTGCCCCTCTCTGGAACTTTCCCTCACAGGGTTTTGACAACAAAAATAACCTCATTCTTCAACAGGAACCTGGCCCACCTCTGAGCTGGGCTTAAGGGCTCAGATTACCTGTACTGACAATACTGCAGCTTTTTTAAACACACAACAACCAATAAGAACAATGTGTTGAGTTCATGCACTTTTTCAAGGTCAATTTTAAGCTGCAGAAATGTTTCCGGAGAAATTGGGCAACTCTCCAGCACCAGTTGAGAGCGATAAACAACTAATTTTGTGCTCGGAATGAGGAATGTTAAATGGAAATATTACTGCTCTTTAAAGTAGGTTTTAAAATTCTGGGTTGTTTCTATGGTAACATTAACTAAGAATTAAAGTCAGAATCTTCCACTCTTCAAAATCAGTATTATTGAGTGTGCATGAACGGAGGCACCTGGAAACATCACCCTGTCCCTTGTTTTTTTTTTTTTTTTCCTTTAGTGCTTTATTTATTATGTGGACCTTGTCAACTATGCAGAGAACAGTTGCTGTCATTTGCCTTATCAGCCTTTAGGGGGCTCTCTAAGCATGATTAGAAAGGTCACCCCTGCCTTGTATTACCATAATGTCCACCTTTGCCTGTTAGGGCTCCTCGATGCTCATCAGTCAGCAGTGATATACTGACAGAAGGGCACTGAGCATAATGCACTCAGGCTTTATTGATCCTTCCTAGGAATGCCCATTTCTATTGAATTGCAACAGAGGCAACTCCAGGCTTCAGTGAAGGATGTATAGACTATGAAAATAAGTGTGTTAGTATTTGTGTGTCTGTGATCACACACACACACGTACATATATGTATATATATATATATATATATATATATATATTTATATAAGGAGTGTATTTATTTATGTAGAACCATTGTTGCTACATTAGATAAGAAATACATCTACTATTATAGCCCAGTTCACATGAATCTAAAGGACAGAAATTAGTCCACAAATCACTCCCCTAATAGCAAAAACGACTTTGAGAGGAACCTAAAACTGCTCTCATTGGTCCAGATACCTGACACCACATTAAGTAGTATTTAAACAAGTTCTTACTTGCATATGCCATCTTCAGGATCCTCCAGACCAAACCTCTGGTCAAAGTTCAGGTTGATCCTCCTGTTGTTTGGGGCCACAAGTCTCCAGGCCAGCACAATATTCCTGGGATACCGACGTGGGAAGTCTGGGCTCTGAACCATCCCCTCTCCAGACACTGTTATGATCTTCTCCTTATGGGAATCTTGCACCCCTAAAACAGAGGGAGTGTCACTAAATAAGACATTTTAAAGTACTGACACAGCACCGTAACCCATAGATGAGAAGTAATACAACACCAAACAAAGTTGCGTGTTTTACGCATCCGCTTTCCATGGCCCCTAAATCCACCTTGACCTCAACATCACCGTGTATCAGTAGGTACTTTTTTTGAACATACACCGATGTTTGTTATTAACAATAACTGCTTTCATCTTCACTGGAACAGTGTGTAATTCTACCTCTCTACTCTTTTTTTTGTCTGATGCCAAGATTATTTTAAGTCAAATATTGGATACATACAGGAGGAAAAAACGAATCATACTGACAAGTGAGAAATTGTGCCTTTCAGCAAATCAGACGTTGTTTCTTGTTCATGTACGTCCCCGTGCCAACATTTTTTTTTTTTTTTTTCAATCTTTGCTCAAAATTATCAAAGTGTGGGAAAATGGTCAAATTCAGAAAAAGAAGTGCTGGAACTTCAGAGGAAATGGCTTCAAGATGCAACAGCTCAATAAAATGTCTGGTTTTCTGCTTTAACATGTGTGATGCATATGCAGAGTTTCAAATACAGCTGCATGTGTCGTTATTGTCTGTCTTTTCGTAAACACATAACTCTCATTGTCAACGATATTTTTACTTTATAATGGTGCAGATTAATTGACAAATTATTGTCAATGATCGGCATATACATCAACATAACCTGCCAGAAAATAACAACAAAAAAACTAAAACTCATAAGGTAGCATAGGTTTGCTGACTTTGGCTAATTTTGTTATGCAGCTAAAAGTTAGCCAAACTAACTTGAACTGATAAAGAACAAATGACATCAGCAAAAATAATTTAAAATCAGCCCCATTATAACAAAAAGGCTAAAGGTTAGCTGAGGGAAATACTAAAAAAATAGTGACGGAATTAGTCAAATATTAATTAAGGGAAAACTAATGTTTCTGTTTTGCATATTTTTGAATTCTATTAACAGAGTTTGAATGCCACCACAAAATATCCTGTACTTGAGGGTAATCTCAGAAAGCTGTCAGTCAAATCATCTGGGTGTTTTTTCTTTCCCACAGATCAGACTCGAATTTATTCTGTCCTCAGTCTGCCCTCAATTTGTTTGAGATTTATTCATATTTGTACAACTGATGGTGTTTCAGGACGCACAAACCACTTCAATATTCACTCTCCTTAGACCAACCGGGGCTTTAATTCACTCAGGAGGAGCGTGCTGTGGAAAGTTTTTTCTTTCCAGAATGAAGTGAATGAGTTACCCACGCTGCACTGCGTCTTGCATTGACACATTTGTATTTAAAGCACATTTGGAACATCATTACTCATTATTTTTGCCATAAATTTGATGTGAGGATGATTCATATCCTAGGGCGCACAGTAATTCAGTCGGAGGTGATTTCCTTGCAGTGGAAAGAGAAACACACTTGTGTATGTTTACGTATGATGACACCTCTGAGGGTCTCGACGGTTCCAAAGATAACAAAACCAAATCCGAATGACTGGTCACAGAAAACAAGCAGGGGAAATTAACTTCAGCGCTGACTGTTTACTAACTTATATTTAGACTTATTCCAAAGTGTAATTACATCTAGTCAAACATTCCCTATTTGTTTAATATTAGGAAATGTTTTGGACATGCTGAAAAACAGCAGATGGAAAAGAGAGTTGACAAAACAGAAGACAGTCTCAAGAAAATCTCTATAAAAGTATATATTAAGAGAGAATAATATAAGCGTATTGAAAATATTTGTGTATTTTGAGCGTATTATCTACCTGCTGATATGAACATCTGACTGGCTTTTTGTTTGACCATTTATGTCACTCGGACTTTCTTCACAGGTCTCCTGACTGATGCTGTCCGTCAGCAGAGTGAGCAGATACTACGTAACTGGAATGTTTGGTTGGAATGACTTCAGGTTGTAGCTTATCTTTGAAGTTTTTTTTTTCCTGGGTGTTGCTGCTGAGCCAGGTGGAAACAGCCAAATGCAAAGGAAAACACAGCCCAGGCATGACTGGTGAATGAAGAGGCTCTTTCATAAACCCACTGAGTCTGACCTCAGGTACTAAGTATCATAACACTCTATCCTGGCACATTAACCGGGTTTGTAAAATCATACACGTGTGTTGCTCCCAGACAGAGAATAAAAATATCAAAGGGCTTCTGTATTCAAAGGCTGAAATGCTTTGAGCTCTGATTTTAGTTTCACAACTACAGCTGTAACAATGGAGGATTCTCTTCAACGGAGCACATGAAGTCACACAGCTATATATAACAATATATAGCAAGAATTCCTTAATTCCTTAATTTCCTATCTATCTATCTATCTATCTATCTATCTATCTATCTATCTATCTATCTATCTATCTATCTATCTATCTAATGACATCACAAAATATCTAGAAAATATTTTGAGGCTTCACTCATGACTAAAGATGTGTTAATCTGTCTTTCATCTTATGTAAAGGATCGAACCCCAGCCGTTCTACTTGGACACAACCCCCTCTGACTCCTGTTCCAGCACACTGACATTTGACTGACTGTGTTTGCATCTATTTGCTGACTCAGGAGACCAGTACCAATATCCTTGATGCCATTAGAGCCTGGCTTTCCATCTCAATGACATGTTTTTAATCAAAGCCCCATTAATGTGGTCAGGTCAACATAGTGTATAATTAAAGTACATATTAAATTGTGTGAAAACAATATGTGACTCATTCAATACATGACTCAGTATGGACACATAAACAGATACATGTGACATTCATGGAAGAGGCCTCAGTATGGACACATAAACAGATACATGGAAGAGGCTACAAAGAATCCGCTTGGAAAATTATAGACATCTGCTAAAAGGCACACGCTGTCTCATAATTCCCTGGGAAAATCTGTTAGATATTGACCGGAATGCCTCTTTATTATAACTGTAATTAAAAGCAGGATCAAAATGAAAAGGTCTGTTGTTACAGATAAAAAAGAGGAATAAATGAAGGCATGAATAAAAGGTTCAGATAAAAAGGTGAGCGGGAAATATGCCCACATGAAATCATACATAATCCAAAAAGTCCGCAGATATCCAGCTAAATCCTTACATGCTTAGTGCAAGCATTTGAGGACAATGTTTTCACATTCCTCTTCTTTGCAGCCCTTTGTGAAACAGGTTCAAAAGTGAATTAGCCATGTTCCTTACTGGGATGTTTTGTTCACTGAGCTTTTCTTCAGAGAAAACTATTATTTAAAGAAAACAGAATCAATAGGAGAAAAAATGGTTTAAAGTTGAAAAAGTGAATGGATTTTCTAAATAAGTAACCCTCAAATCATACAGAAGTGTTCTTTCCAGCTGTTATTAGACCACGTGTTACTACTGACATGGGTTTTCTTTTCTCTATTTCCATTTACCAAAGGTGTTGCAAATGTTTACCAGTAAAGTAGAATTTTTATTCCATGACATTGACATTAATTTTATTGCAAAAATAACTTTAGTGCTGGTAGACTGACTAATCTTGACTTTTTATGATTATGTTAAAAAGTAAAAAATTCAGATATAATTGTTTTTTGTAGCTATTTTGATCAATCAAGTTTATATATTATAAACCAATCACTCAACTCATTGACCAGAGCTAAACTGTGTTTATAGACCAGGATGGTCTGATGGAGAAAGAGCATCATGCTCCGTGCTTACCAAAATCTGTACAAATACCTGAAAACTCAATTGATAGCCTTGTTCTCTGAAGTTACTGTCTTGTCTTGTTACTGCGGGAAACCCAGACCAAGCAGCAGGTCTGATCCTGGGAGCAGCTCTGACTCCAGAATGACCTCACTCCCGGGGTTAACCAGCGTCGACTTAAATGATCAGAGAAGCGATCCCCTGGAGTGAATTACCTCAAACATGACTTTTCCTTGACCCACTTTTTCCCCCTCAGTGTGGAAAGCGGAGCTGACTATTAGGAGAGGAAGTGACTCTGAATAAATAGGAGCCTATACAGTGAAGCCATTGTGCTTTGTTCACACATTAGCTGGTGAACCATTCATGCTGTTAAACATTAACCTTTCCCCTGCCAGAGAAAACCTGCGTGTACATACAGAACCAAGGCGACCACGTGCACGCCATTATGTTAGTTTAGGTAAGTATGAAATTGCTTCACTGAGGCTTTTGCTACTGTGTGAAACTAACTTCTGAAAGCTTTTCGATTCTGCTGGTTACTTGCTTTGAGGCCTGTTTACTGTCAAGGTCGTCCTACAGAAACTCCACTGTGTGTATCAAGGGACGAAATGTAGCTCCAGAATTTTCCAGAGGATACCATGTTAAAAAGACATTATTTATTTTGGCTTCTTTTTCATCTCAGAAAATCCTCAGTGCTCACATTCTATCATTCCAACATCTATACTGAACATATACAGGCCGCAGTACATTTTGTTCTGACTAACAGAAACAATGCAAAAAATCAACAATTTGATACCCTTAGAATAAAAATAGATTACACACCACCTAAACTGGCCAAATTACCACTTTTAAGACTTAATATTAAACCGTTACTCACCACAGAGTACCACAGTTGACCAGTCCTGCAGCCACCTGATCCAAATTGTTTTAATTTCATTGTCGTTACCTGCTGATCAAAAAGAATGCAAGCAGCTCTGAGCAGGTGATGAAACTGTACCTAACAAAGAACTCCCTTTTTTCACTGGCATGTGTTTCAGGTTGAGTGCAATCACTGCCACATCTGTGTCTTATTAGGACAGTGCTGTGCAGTTACCACAGGTGCTGTAAATTCCCAGCCCTGCTTAGGATATTTATTGCCCTGGGTTTACAGTTGGTGGGGGCTAAAAGTGGGGCTGCAACATAGAAATCTTTTATACCATTAAAATATAATTTGGCTGCGTGGGAGCCTTCTGCAGAGGCTCAATCAGCGGGGCATATGCTCCTGCGTGTTGGGCTAAGGAGGAAACATTCTAAGATCAACAGACTCATACAGTTCCGGCCGATGAAGGAAAGACATCCCTAGCCACATATGACAGTAAACAGCAATTTTTACAAAACCAGGTAAAACTGAGGATCAATGCACTTTACTTAAAATTATGGCAAATATTACATGACATCACCTAAAGCACAAGTGCTAAAAACAAACCAGGTGTCCAGTCTAAACAATCTAATTTGGACCAATTTGATGAGTGCACATATTAAGTATAATCAAGCAGCCATCACTACATTGTTGTAAACTGCACATTTTCACAATATTGTTCACATTATCTGCCGTCTGTCCTCTAGACTGTCAAAGTCCTCTCTGTACATAATGATTTTGTAGATGCAGGATGTTTGACTGACAGCATGACAGCAGCAGCAAAGCCTTTTCTTATCTTCACATCACTGGCCTGAGGATTAGACTGCAGCTCATGGCACAACTGTCACAGATAATATTGATCCAATATAGTGCGTATGAACTACTGTAGAGTAACCTCAGCAAAATAACTGGACTTCTACTTCAAACTATTTCTTTTATCTCTAACATGAAAAATGCGGCTGGACATGTTGCCTAATCCTAATAAATTATTTTGTAACTAATCATTAAAAGTCATGATTGGTGTGTTTAGAGACTCACTTCTGGTACCTTGACATTGGTAATGTTGCTAAAGTCTAGGGCATATTTTTTTTTTCTAATTTGTGTCAGTCTAAATCCTCTAGGGGTCAGTCATTTCACCTAACCTAAATGTATAATTTATTTTTCTTAAAATCTTTATCTTCATGTTGTCTCTCCAGGAAGAAGGAACAGCTGCGCCTGTCATGTCTAATTCATTCCACACACTATTTAAACCCACATTTCTATTATCAACTAGTGGCCAATTATGAACTGTGAAAGTGCAAAAGTCAAAGGTCACATAAAATCACTCTTTGCACTAAAACCACTAAAAATAAGTCTGGTTTGGCTGTGTGGTAACAAAATGACATGATGGTTATTGATTCCCTGCAGTGAAATGCTTAGTTTTTATGAACCTTTATCTCCAGAAAGGTCAGAGTGAGGGACACCTAAGGGTCAGGGTGAGAATGACCTGCTTTTAAAACGCTGGAGCAGATTTTCTTCGGCTTCGGCATCCAGACTGCAGAGCAACTCTCACTTTCACAGAGGTCAGTTTGGCCAAGTAGGTCAGAGCAGCATCTGTTGACACCTGCTGCAGGAGCAAAACTAAACATCTGCATGTCATATCAGATGGCCCAACCTGACACCGCCAGAATGTGTGTTCAAATGTGTGTGTCGGGCCTTGCCATACTGGAAAAGCAAAGTAAGAAGCACTTATGTTAGAAACCATACACAATAGAATAAAAGTACTTAATGGTATATATACTTCAATGGAAGAGAATATTTAATAATGTTATTGACACTGTACAATAAATTAAATAAATTAAAAATATTTAAACAAATAACAAAGCCCAGTCACAATGATGTTCAAATATGCTTTTAACAAATGGCAAACATTTAGCACTAGTGGCCCATAAAAATTATAATAAAAAAACTGTTCATGTTGTAGAACACTTGTAATGATATCTTGAGCACATCAAGAAAAACGACAATGAAGATTTTAGACACCACCTGCAAGTTAAAAAAAAAAAAACACACAAAAATAATCCCTTAAGACTGTGGTTTGGTCCTCTCAAGAGTGAAAGTCGTCACCGTCTTCCACACAACAGCCTCTTCTCATATTACAATCCTTTTCCCACCTCTGAATGGATTTCTTAGACCCACTAATTAGTGCATAAACTTTAGTCTAGAGTTCAAAATATGGTAGATTAGGTTGCAGTATTTGCAGCCAAAGTAGAGCCGTTGTGTTATCTTTCGTGAATTCTGTGTCCGTGCACCCATAGATGAGCCACCAGCAGCAATTATCAGAACGACAGAAGAGATTAAACCCACACAGCTATTCAAAGTTTGACTCATTTTTAACCTTGCAGGTAATTTCCCCTAACTCTAACTAGTGAGACCAATTAGCACACAATAGACAGGTTATATTTTATGCTTGATTCACCTCCTTAACAGACATCTTATTTTTCACATTTTCAAATCTGCTTCGGTCGGCGAAAGAAGCGAAAAAAAAATGTTGTGAAATTGTTCCTACAAAACATCATGGGACAGAATAAACCTCCTCTTCTGGCTGGAGCCCAGGCACTGACAGATGAACCATATCTTACTCAGACTTCTTTCTGCAGCTGTGGATGGCAGCTACCTTTGTAGTCACATCTGTGAGCCGGACAGCTGGATGTTCGGAGGAAAATTACAGTTTGATCTCTGACAGCCCAGATTGGGCACTCGCTTCCCTGCTGCTACGGATCCAGACACTGCGACTACACTCCGGTCGGAGATTTGCAGGTTTTTAGTAATGAACGCTGCTGACAGGATTGATGTCTGATCACAACCTGTCTTGTAATTCCCTGGCTCTGGGACAGAGGCAGTCAAATCTTCAATGAGCAGCTTGGGGGAGGCTCAATAATGTTCTCAGCTAATGGTTCCTAAATTGATCCAGGCCTGTATATATCTGCATCAGGTTCTCAGTTAAAGCCAAGATATTAGCTTGGACAGCAGCCAAATTGAGACGCTATGTGAGTTTGTCTTCACACATCTTCTGCCTCTTTGTCCCATTACTATAATCTAATCATAAATAATGACCATTCAAGTCCCAGAGATGAATCCCCCATGAAGCTCTGAAACACAGAGGACCACACTGAACTCTGAGTAATCTCCACCTAATCACAAACACTGTGTTGAATTACACCTTTAGCCAATATAACATTTAACGGATTGTTTTTCTATAATTTGACAAACCTTTTCTTGCTATTCTTACTTTTGTTTCCCTGCCTTTTCAGCAACTTTCTATAATTGTGTACTTCTTTTGATTAAATTAAGACAACCATTAGCCTTATTTGGAATTGTATTAATAACCCCCAGCCCCCCTTTATTTATTTATTTATTTTTCAGCTGGACTTCTAGTGCCTTAATTTATTTTGAATTAACTCTGTCTCTAGCACTGAGTGATGTATGCATCGTCACGAAATTAAGCCAATAATTATCTATCTCTCTGTAACTTATGTAACTAATTTCTGACCAGTTTTACTAAGTTAAACTTATTTAGCTTAATGTAAAATATTGATTCCCAACCACTGTGACAGTACAGTACTGCAATGTGAAAGATGGTCAGGTGTGCTGTGAAAAATGATCCAATTGATCTTAATTGGTTATCAAACAACAAATAATGTCTTCATTCATCAGTGACAGGCAGAAAGAATAAATACCTTTCCACTAGGTTGCAGCAGGTGGCTATAAAAACTGAAAAAAACATAGAAATTCAGCGTTGATCTCAGTGTATGTCTTTCTTCAATTCCTGCAAATATATCAGAGTTGTGTTCAACTAAACAAGCCAGGATTTGATATGTTAGTAAATTAAAAAAAGGGTAAATAATACATCTTGATATTCCATTACACATACTTTTTTGGTTATTTTTGTTTGGTGGTGTTTCATAGGATTTCTCTGATGCAGAATATGTGAATCTTTAGCTATTTTCAGCTTTTTCCCAAAACAATTACCTTTAAACCAACTTATTTTAGCTAAATTCAACACTTTATGCTGTCAAACCATATTTTTGGGACAGCCCTGTGATTTCTATCCCTCTTCTAACAGGTCTTAATAAAAAATGACCATTAATATTTAAAATATATCATGTACACCAGCATGTTTCTAACAGTGAAAGTTTCAGAATAAGTGGTTTCTGTGAGAGGGTTTTCCAGAGTCTATATTTATCATTCAGCTCAACGAGCCTCCTTAAAGACGGTAAACTAAACTTTGCCCAGCTGTCTGTAGAAGGAGGAGCAGCAGTGAAGGAACTCAGAGCTAATGAAAGTCTATTCCTTTCAACCTCTATTTACCAAGGGAGGGTTTCCTGAGCACAACTGCTCTTTTCCTGTAACATCCCACACTGGCTCTCACACACACAAGCTTGTTACTGCCCACAGACAGCAGCCATGCTGTCTTAGTCTGGTCAAAAACACCGTGACGACAGTTGGTGAAAAATGTTAGCACTGTGTCTAATCCATCTTCCTGCAAATTCTCACAGGATTTAACCTGGCGCCCCACTGGTCATAAGCTTACTTCGGCAATAATGATTTTGCTACCAAAAACCACCCACCACTGTTTCCTACCAGCAATGCTGAAAATCAAATGGATTTATAGCCTGAGAAATAAAGAATATCTCCTCAAATATCACAGCGTCTTAACTTGCCAAAAGGATTTTTTTTTCTTTTCTTTTTCGGAATTGTCAAGAGTAGCAATTTGAGGATTATAAAAATCGGGAAAATTGATGTTTCTGAGGGGAACCTCTGAGGATGAGGGCAGTGACTTAGCGTCTGCAGGTTAATTCCCCTAAGAGGTGGATAAAATAATTGCATAATTACAACGCTTCTCTCCGAGCAGCCCTCTATGAATCCATTCATCCAAGGATTTGTATTTCAATCATTATGGCACCAGTGATTCTTAATAACAAAGATGTCCAGTGTACACAGATTACACAGAAGTACAACAACCAAAATACAGTATGATGAATTATTTAATCTGTCTGCTATCTTACTAAGTCGTGTCATTGGAAGAGAGCAGTGTGAGGTTATAAAAATGTCACAAGTTAAAACAACAGACTACAGAGTTTGAAAGGGAGTGGTTCAACCGCAGCTTAGGTGGAATTAAGAACAAGAAAAAGACAGGGTTTGTCAAGTAATGACTGTAACCTGCAGGTTAGGAAACAGCCTTTTTTCCCTCGCCTTCCTCTATGAAGGAAGTTTGGGGTGCATCTTGGATCTTTTCCATGACCTTTTATAAAATTACATTTTGGAAAGTACCTACTCACTTATTCCTGCAAGACTTTTATGAATTTGTCGATCTATTATCAAAAATAACAATTACATTATGGTGTTTTTGTCAACTTTTCGAATCATGTGGATGAAAATTATTCATTTGAACATTCTTCCCATCCCTACAAACAAAACCAATCCAAAACATTAGGGTTGGTTGTACAGATTGTTTGTTCACAAGTAATGTTTAACAATTTGACAATTTGAAACAACATGAACCAGAAAGTCTGTACAAACGTTCATATGAATGTTTCCATTTTCCCCACAATCATAATCAATTTCACACTTGGTCTAAACTTACAATAAATTTCACCTTTATGTGAAATCAGGCGAGAGATAAAAACCAGCAAATGAGATAATGTGATTTTAATGTGCTATAATGTGTTATAATGTGATATCAATCACCAGACGAGGCCTCTGACTCAATCTTTGTCTTTTCTCCTTGGTCAATTTCATGCAGGGCAAACTTGAGTGACTCTCATTTGTAACAGACTGCTTTAATATAATCAAACCTCAGCCAGTAAATGAAAACCCTGCTCATGTTGAGAGAGAATGAGATTATGATTTATTAGCATCTGAAAAGCAGTCATCCAGTTTGACCATGTGGGAGCCACGTGAGTCGGTAGGGGCAAAAGCTGAACTGGTTAGAACTGTACCAATCATCTGGGCCTCATATTGGTATGAATCAAAATATACTTGAGTAATTTGCTCTAGGTCCACATTGAAGCAATGACCACATCAACATACAGCAGGGCCTACTTTTTAGCCCACTTTTCTGCACATTGCTGCCAAATATACTATGTTGCTTCTATATATATATATATTTAAAAGTCACACAGTTCTGTGTAAGAATGTATTATTATTATTAATTTATAATTACTTTAGTATTTTTTTCCTTGTCACATTATCTTTTGATCAGTTTCCAAAAGGTGAGGGCGGGGGAGATCCTGGACAGTTCATCAATCAATAACAGGGCCACATGCAGAGACACAAAACCAATCATGATCCACACATATGGTGAATCCAATAGAGTATCCTATCAACCTAATCCTGTAATCTGCGTGTCTCGTTCTATGTATGTAATGTAATGTGTATGTAATAGTGAATTATCTCAAGTAAGTTCTTTTTTTTTGTATTTATCTTTAAGCTGATGATGTAGTGATTTCTCATTGAGAATACATACATCGATGTATATATATTCATATACCTCTCAGGACTCAGGTTCATTTTGTAAGGGCCAAATAAAGGCCAGCAGTCCCTGTCAGTCATGGTCAGAGCGGGCCAACATCTGCCTGCTGTCTGTCAGAGACAGGCATGTTTTGCAATTAAAAACCCAGTTGAAAAGTGAAGAAAAACCAAAGTAAAACAAAGTCCCAATTAGTGATTGTTACCACCACTCTATTACCACCAGTTTCTATCCAAAAACTACATTATGAAGAAACTCCACACATTACATTATAGCATCTGTAATGTAATATATACCAAATGAACAGGATTGCATGTGATTTAATTAATGACCACTAAGAACCACTGATAGTTTTCTCCAATGACTTCATGCAACTCTCCAAATGAGTTCTAGACTTCCCAACGACAATTCACCAACAACTCAAGTGACAAAGGTTCGTAAACGAAACTGGCAGAGGGCGTCCTGAGCCAAAGGAATATCAACAACTTTATTAACACTTTTATAAACAACAACCTATTTAAACAATGTTGCAATCACTGGGAAAGTGAAAAGGCTCTCTTTAGAGACAGTGATGCTGTCTTTGTCCTCTGTCTCAATAAAAACTGCCATAGTTCACTACCTACAGATAAATTCATCTCTATTGAGGTTAAGACAGCTGTTAAACACCAACACAGTTTAATTAAAGTTTAACTTGTACTCATATTAAATCTGCTAATAATAGTTTTATTGTTTGAAATGTTACAACTACATTTGTCAAACGTGTCCCCCAGAGCAAATGTAGCTTAATTATATCATTAGTCAGTGTCATATTATTGGAAGACAATTCTCGATTCATATTTAGTTCTATTAATTTTACATTTATTTTTTCTTGTGTTAACATAAGTGTTGCATTATCTTG